ATACTTTGGCTTTTAGGAACAAACAATTGATCACGTTGCTCTTTTTCGGCTCACCTGAATGACCTCTCCTTGTCCCTTCAATGTCCTTTAAAAAGGTTGTGTCAAAACTCCAAGGTGAAGGGTTCTGGGGAATTTTGATGATAGTTGGGCATGGGACTATTTTAAATTTAGTTGGTACCGGTCATTGACCTTATTTGGAGCGCTGTCAGTCAAGTCAATCTAATCGAATCAGACAATCAGCTGTTCTAATGTAAATATTGTGATTTTGTTTATTAATAAATTATTTGACTATTTATTTTAACCCTACTAAAAGGAAATCAATTCCATTATTAAACCTCTAACTTGATGATTCTGGGAAGAATGAAAAGTTTGAAGAAAAGTATGGCCACAACTATTCGAAAGAAAACAGTGGCTCGACGAAGATATGCTGTTCAATGAGGCAAATACGCTTATTTCCTTTTATTTTGGCCCAGGAAAAATCATTCCGTAACAATCCCTGTCCGATACGCATATTGGACTAGGTGTAGTGGTCTGTTTGCCCAAACACCGTCCCTAATGTGCCTATCCACCAGTTTTTCCAGTGTCTTAAGCTCAAGTGATGTAAGACTAATGGGTTTAGCGACTTCGCCATGTCCTGTCCTATTTCTCCAGAAATTATCCTATACACCTTCAAGAAAGAAGACAAACATAGAAAACCATCGTCCTATCAACTTGTCATTACATTTGAATAATTTGTTTACCAACAAAATGGATAAATAGTTGAACAGGCGGAATTCCATAAGGAATATGGCACTACCGACAACTTGTGGACCCTTTGTACTTTCAATGAGAAAATTACGGAGTACCTATAATATACCATTACACTTAGCTTTAATGGATTACCAAGTGTCCGCTGACTCTATCCAAACCTGAGAAATTTTGATATCATTAGATAACGCGAGGATAGACTCCAGATTAGATATACAAGCCTTATTATTAAAAAAATTATGTTAATGCATCAATTCAAGTGAAATTAGATGAGGATCAAAAACCTGAAGAGATCCCGATCAAAAGAACACTAGAACAAAGGAATTGGCTTCAGTTCTTTGCAAAATTTCCTTTCCCAGTTCATCTAGAAAAAAACACAAAAAACTCTTCCTAGCAATTATCGTTCCATCTCACCTATATCCGTACTTTCGAATGTAATAGGGAAGGCAGTTGACCTGAAACTGGTTAAATACCTCGAAGTCAATAAGCTCATCTTTGACAAACAGTACGGGGTTCATTGGAAAAGATTAAAACAGGGAATCTGCTGACGTACTTCAGTCATATACGGAACTTGACTTTCGAAAAACATGGCGAATGCAGAATCGTAGCATTGGACATCTATTTCCAATGCTATTGATCAGGTGTGACACAAAGGTCTTCTTAGCAAACTTCCATCGTATGGTCTTTCGAACGAATTTTGCCATTGGCTGGCGAGCTTTTTGGAAGGCAGGTCACTGCATTTTGTGGTCATTGGTCTATTTTCTGATACACTGCCTATAAATGGCTCAGTTCTGTCCCCAACGCTGTTTCTTATTTTTATAAATGATTTGTTAAATGTGACAAGAAATCTCATATACAGCTTTGCGAACGATAGTAGCTTGATGGCATCTTTCGCTTCTGACGAACCGCTTACTGCAGCTACTTCCACACGCCTCACCCAAGAACAGATTCAGTCTATCAGCAGTGATCTTGACACTATCACTAACTGGGCCCTAACAACCTAGTCAAATTCAATGCTTCCAAAATTCAAGCAACAGTATTCTCGATGAGAAATCTTCCGCCGAAGATAACCTAGTTTTACGGGCGTCGCGTCGGTTCTGATGATCTGGCCAGTGATCCATTCTAGCTAGAAGTTATTTAAGAACCACAAGAACCTCACAGGCATCCGATCCGTGTGGTGAAGTTGGCTACCCAGCTCTAAATATAAAGCTTTTTTTTGGTGGCGTACTGCTCACCTCTGGAACTCCCTGCCGCCTACTTCATTTCTTGAACAATTTAACATTAACGTGTCCAAACGTAGGATTAATCTTCCGCACATGATACCGCTAAGGGACTAGCAGAATGAAAGAAAAAAAGTCAGACTCACAATCAGACATGTGAACTGAAGAGCGTTTTCAAATTCAGGAACTTTACTACACACATGTAACTGTATGAAACGCATACCTACATTAATTCCAATTGCGCTCAACGACATAGGTATATTTTTGTGTATACCTACTTTTATCTATTTTATTTTTTTTTTTAATTTGAATTGTTTGGTATAAATCTAATCTAATATAGTAAGTAAGTACTTCAAACTCACCAAAACCATTTAGCCAATTTCAAACGACCCAATACGAATACTGCATTGTGAACAAACCACACATTTTGCTTATCATAATTTCACACTAATTTATAGTTAAATAATAAGATGGTTGATTTTATTCGAGACAAATATCCTAATAATGCTGAGCTTCACATTGCTGGTGATTTCAATCTACTACGAATTGGATGGAACCTTATCGAAGATTGCTTCATTGCTCTACCTCGGACTGATCTCTACATTCCACCTCGACCACCTCAAACCTTTGACTCAATTGGTAGATACACTGTCAGATATGTGTCCATAAAATAATCTTTTCCAATTAAATCATATTTCTAATTTTAACAATGTCATATTAGATTTAGTACTTTCACAAAAAGTTTTTGATGTACAGCAATGTGACCCATTAATGAAAATAGACAAACATCAACCACTTCTACATTTTTACCTTGAATATTAACATAGCAAAATAAACTCTATCAGTCCTCAAGCAGAAACTTTTTATCATGACTTTAAATCCGTTTACTATACTATCGCTGCCAACTATCTGGGTTCCTTTAATTTTGATGAGATTCTCTCTAGCTTTAACATACAAGATATGGTACAGAAATGATATTTTCAACAGAGCAATAAACCTTTTTGTTCTTCTCAAAAAAGTTGCCAGTAGGAAATTTGCAGAGTGGTTCACACAAGAACTCATTAGTTTAACTATTGAGATGAAAATTTCCTACAAAAACTTTCGCCCCATCTCAACAAAACTATCAATCATTTTCTAAATTGCGCACTCTATTGATGATCAAAGTATCTCTCAACAATGATCCAAAAAAGTTTTGGAAATACATAAACTCTAAACGCAACTCTCATAGCCTACCCTCCAACATCTCCCTTGACAATGCAACATGTGAATTGGGTGTAGATGCAGCCAACCTTTTTGCAAATTAATTCGGATCAATTCTCTCAAAATCAACCAAAATTTACAACAGAAACCTCCCTAAATAACATTGATTTACCATCTTATGCTTTTTCAATATCTGCCGTATATTCTGAGCTATCCAACTTAAATACTTCCAAGGGTCCTGGCCCAGGAAAAAATTCACTCCATTCTACTAAAAACTTGCCCTTTGATACTTGCCGGGCCTCTGCACATTATATTTAACAAGTCTCTAAGCTCTGGTCACTTTCCAGACGTCTGGAAATCTAGTTATGTCGCTGTCGCTCCCATCTGGACACAGTAAAGACGTGAAGAATTACAGGCCAATCAATATTATGAGCACAGTTCCCAAGATATTTGAATAATTATTACCTAACAAATTACTCAACATCAGTACTCTCACCTTTGATCGCAAATAACCAGTTTGGATTTTGTGCTCACCGAAATACGGAACTAAATCTATTGTCACACTTATCAAATACTTATCATTGAAACCTTTGAAAATGAATTAGAAGTAGGTACATACCATTTATACAGACTTTGCAAAGGCTTTCGATAAAGTGCCTCACAATATCTTAATCCACAAACTTAAATTAATGGGAATTTCGGGTTCCATGCTTGACTGGATTAAGAGTGACATGACTGGACAGACCCAGATTGTAAAAGTAAACTATCTAATACAGTGAAGATTTCCTCAGGAGTCGCCCAAGATTCCCATTAAGCAGCACTTGCTCTTTAATTACTATATAAATGATGCCGGATCACCCTTTAAACACAGTGATCATAAGCCCTTTGCAGATGATATGAAACTTTCAGAAGTGATCTCTGATACAAGAGACTGTCTCTTGCTACAGCGTAATCTTAAGAGTTTGTACAGTGGTGCAAGACAAATGGAATGGAATGAAGCTAAATGTATCAAAATGTACCTAAGCTTTAATGATATTTTCTCGCAAACGCTCTAAAACAACCTTTAAATACACGATTGACGGATATTCACTTTTGATGGTTGAAACAATAACTGATCTCGGCATAGTTCTTGACCCAGAACTATCCTACACTGACCATATCACTTTCATAGTAAATAAATCGCTTGGAATGTTAGGATTCCTAAAACGAAAAACTCAACATTTTGAGTCGATTCATGCTCTCAAAATTCTTTATTACAGTCTAGTCAGGTCACACTTAGAATATACCTCATCTATTTGGAACCCTCACTACGAAATACATACCCACAAGAATAGAGGGTATATACAGAGAAAATTCCTTTGCTTCATTAATCATAGATTTTTCTATAATGAGTTAAGCTATGAAGCTCATCTGCACCAGAGATTAAATCTGCATACTTTATGCACCAGGAGAAGTCTCAGGGACCTATCTTTGCTTTTTAAATTAAGTAACTCTATAGTGAATTGTGCCCATCCAACAAGCATGGTCAACCTTCATGTTCGTCATTTCTACACAAGAAATCGTAAAAATTTCCATATTTTTTTTTACCTAATTGTTTTCAATTAAGATTTTCTATTGTTACCTGTTAGTTATTTTGTAATATTATTTTTGTTAGGTTTCAAATACTGGGCTTCTGCCCGTAAAATAAATAAATTAAAAAATAAAATAAAAAGTATTGCACAACCTTGATTATAAATAAGTATCCACCATGACCCATGGTCTAGTGACGACTGTCGACTGTGTCTCTCAAAAATATCTACATAATAACTAATTCCGCCATTCTTTTTGTTTCAGGAATCCTCTCCAACTTTGACGCTCATATCGTCAAAGGTAAGCAGGCCATGCGACCGCAGCGTTGTCCAATCAAGGTGTGTGTAAATGTGCGCTTATTCATTTTGTTCTCTCACTACTTTACAAACTAACAACCAATGAAAACTTCACTTTGTAAATCACCACTACTACCGTGCATTTTGGTTGGTGTAATTTAAATGCTGCTCTCCGTTTTTTTTTATTTTTTTTTTTTGTTTTATGTAACCAGTAATTTCCATATTTGCACAAATTTATTATTATATTTAATGCACGTTGGTTTTCTTCAATATTTTTAGTTTTGGGTATTTAAATATATAATGATCATCCACCTATATAATAAGTTGTCGGAATTTGACTTAGGTAATATATTTACACTAAGGTAGTCATTTTGAGGGAATCTTCATTGCTTGATTAAACTACGTCGGGCCCATTACCTGGCCTAACTTAACTTACATGTTCATTTTAATTATTCCTTCTTATGATTTACTATAGGATGAACTTGGTCTTTACACGTAAGTAATTTGTATTTCTAATTTGTAAATTTTGATACTCAATTATTTAATTAATTACTAAGAATGGTCTTAAGATGAAGCGGAATAAAAATACAGTAAACGCCAAATAATTTCCGATGCACGTCATCAATCGCCTGATAAAATAAATGACATTCAAGCCATTTTGTTTGGTTTATTTTACGGTGTGGTGTTCAAATTTTCTTTATTATGGCTCCAGCGTAAATCAAGAAAATTGCAACATTAGTTTTACTTCTTTCCATCACAATCTGACAACGCTGCCCCCATTCTACTTCACTCAAAGGCTATGACGTGCATCGTAAATTATTTGGTGTTTACTATAGTTTCAAATTACAACAATAATAAATATTTAGTTTATTGCAAGGCATAAATCATAAAAATGTTCTTAATGAATGGAGTCTTACATCACGTCAGTGTATCGAATGTCATTATTCGTGCAAATGCATACTTGCAGGTTGCTTTTTTTTGCGCCATTCAAGGTTATCCGGTACCAGTACGGCAAAACGTTAGTGCCCAATTTTACGATCGTCTGCAGTTAGGTACTTAATTCAACCCGTGTTTTCTTCTACGGACAAGCCCGTTTGGGACCTTAATTTTTCGGTGCTCTTGCTCAACTGCACCAAACAGAAATTGCAAAGTAGGTTTTTGGAATATGTTAATTTAATAAAAATGAATTTGATACTAATAATACTTATATATAAGGCTGAAACTTGCTCACGATACATAATTGTTAAAGTTTGTGGAGGGTAGTCCTTCTTGAAATTGTTATAGGATGTGTATAACGGATGTTTCCAGAAATTCCGCCTCAAAACATTTCTGAGATGTATATACCAAAGAAACTAGGCAAATCGCATCTAATCTATACATTCAGACATTTAATACCCGAAAGGGATATCTGAGGAATATATTGTCTTATTAGGGAAGATACTCGGCAGATCTGGAATAATCCTCTTTCTACATAGCAGTTGATTCTATTCTACCCTACGGTTATTGATTGCATGTTCCATCGTCCAGACCTCTACACTATCGAATGCCTTCTCATAACATAATCCATGAGGGTTCTTAATGTCAGAAGTTCGCTCAACAGGTTGGTATAGATTTATTCTAGATGTTAAACCTCATTAATAGTTTGTAGACCTGGAACAACAACGATATTGGTTGACAATTGTTGATATTATTTCTTTTTCCATACTTGAAAAGCAACACATCACATCCACTCTTTCATTTAATGATAGTACCACGTTGCTTTTTTTTATTCTTTCCTCTATTAAATGTCTCTATTTTCGGTATTTACTCTGAATTTATTTACTCTATTTAATTTCTGTCATTTTCCATCATCTGGGCTTTCCTTGAATGTGTATACGATGCTGTTACTATTTCAGCTATTTGCAGTTTGTTTTTTTCCTCCTCTCCATTTATTCTCTTTTACAGACGTTATAACAGTTTTGTCTTATCCTGGTCTTAGACACTTTAATCATCTGTTGATAACTCCTTTGTCTCGTTGTGCTTCCCAGATCATCATTAATTTTTCTTTTTATTGTTTTATTGATTTTCATACTCTCAACAACAATTTACCTCTAAAACGGTTACATATAGAACATCCATTAATAACTGATTTAACAGTGCGTCTGCATTGAAGAATCCAATAGTTTTTCTGGAAAATGTTCATCAATCCTTGTACACCAACATGGTTATTTTTACTGTGTTCTTCGAAAATAAGACGTTTAACAACATGATTTGAGAGTAAAACATACGGCATACGGAAGTTTCCTGTATCAATTCTGTCTGATATCCTAGTACGTACCCTGAAACCCGTCTTCATCGATAAACGGACATAAAGGTGACAGTTTAGGTTCATTTTCGGACTGAAAAATGTCTTCTTGTATGAAACGAATGGCAACTTTTCTTGACACTTCTAATTTCTTTGGTGTCAAAAAACTTTTTGTTCTCGGTAATCTTCTTTCTGTAGTTATTGACAAATAGTAGCAGCCACGCAATCATGTTGACTATTTGGTTGCATTTTGAGAAATACAGGTAATACCATAAAAAATATTTGGTTACAATCAAAGAAACTACAGTCTTTCTTTTTTACTTACTTACTTCTTCGTCGCACTCAAAATTTTGACTTATCCACTTTGAAACTGGATCAAGTAACCATCGAGGTCCCTCCCACCATCTTCTTCCAGCCAGTGCTTTCAAAGAACAGCCTCTTGAAGGAAGATCTACTGACGAGGAACATGGTATCAATATTCAGGTTTGGTGAACTTTTTTATTTCTTCCACACGATTCCAGATCAACGGTTTCCGTTGGTCTTCTCTCCTAATCCAAGATAAAACTGTTGATGAATCTGAACAAAAGAGAACTTCAAGTTTTAAACCGTGATTATTGTAAAACTTTTGAAATAATCGTACACCAATGGTAGCAGCTAAAAGTTTAAGACGAGGTATAGTTAACTTCTTGATAGGTGCTACTCTAGATTTTACTTCCATTATTAGTCTCAAACAAACTTGACCTTCATCTACTTCTGTCCTTAAAAAAATACAAGCTGCATAGGCGTCGGCACTTGCATCATAGAAGACATGTAAAGATCTTGTAGCCATTTTAAAAATATTTCTCGAATTTTTCCAGTCACCTCAACGTCCCATCCCAAATTCGAAGACATGTCTTTTGGAGTAAAAGTTTTGAAATCAACGTAACTGGACACGAAAAGCCAATAGGGTCAAACAACTTATGAGTTATGGATAAAATAATTCATTTCATTAGCTGTCGTATATCGAGTTTATCAACGTACCTTTCTTTGGACATTTCATCATCTACTTTATCACAAATCCTTGTAAAAGCTGTCTGATGTGGTTCTAGGGCTTTCTTGGTTTTCTCCATACTAGAAGTATCCTCAGAGTCTTACCACTCTACTATCAAGTATATACCTTTGCAGCAACAGCCGATATTACTTCGAAAAATACTTTTATTTAACAAAGAACAATGTGATAACTTTTTTTTTTAATCATTCAATAATAATCACTGTCATCCCCTGACATAATCACAAAATTCTGGTGGTATATATCAAAAAATATAAAAAGAATAAGCCCCCTTATTTCTTAACAAATTGATACACAAGTTGGATCACCCCTAGGCTTGGATTTCACGAATTCTAAAGACATTCAAATTATGCATAATTTCAACAAAGAGAAAACAAAATCAAACTTTTTTAAGTTAATGTCCTAAAATTTCTACATCCTGTTTGAAATCCTAAATTTTACCATCTTCAAAAGTATTTTCTGGTATAGGAACAGTAGATCGCAGTTACACAAACAAAACAAATTCCTATTGCTCTAAAGGACAAGGTTAGAGAAAAAAAAGACTTATAATGATTTCCCAGAAAAATCTTGTTTCAGTCACTGAACCAACTGACTGGGTAAACCCTATTGCTATAGCACCCAAACCTAATGGCGATATTCGTGTGTGCATAGACCCCAGAGATTAGACATTTAAATCAATATTTAAAACGAGAATATTTCAATATACCAACCACGGACATTTTATTCAGTGAACTTCATGTTCATTACATTATTAGACGCTTCCCAGGCTTTTTTATAAATACTCCTGGACTATGAAAGTTCTAAAATGTGTACCATCGCCACTTGTTAGGGTAGATATAGATTCGCACGGTTGCCATTCGGCATCAGCTCAGCGCCAGAAATTTTCCAGCGTTTTATGTATGAAACGTTAGAAGTTGTGCCTAGTGTAATATCATATTTTGATGATGAATAGCGAAAAATGACAAGACCTGTCAGTCGAGTGTCCCACTTTTAATGCTCACGACTGTACTTGTGTTCGGCAGGACTCTAGAAGACCATAACAGAAATTTGGACATAGTATTTAAAATAATCTGTAAAAGTGGCCTTATTGTAAATCAAGAAAAATCGCATTTTTGTTAGAAAAGCATAAAATTGTTAGGTTATGTAATCAGCGAAGCGGGTATTGCTGCTGACAGAAAGAAAACTGATACTATTGATTATTCCACTCATGTGTGATAAATCCCATAAGACAAGTGACGATTTTCAGAATTACAGCGAAAATTCTCTTTTCCATTTGTTTAACTAGAGAGAATTACAGCAATAATTCTCCCATGTTATTGTATACATGGTTGTCATGCTAATTTTTGATACAAACAAATGGTTTCTGATAGCAACCATTTATTTGTATTGATTGTTAAGATGTTCAAATCGTTTAATACATAATTATTTCCATATTTTTTGCATTCTCATACGTGAAATAATCCTCTAAATATCACTTGAGCTTTAAAATGAACCAGATAATTTTTCACTCATGCGTGTTTTCTCTACAAATTTCACTCGTCCTACGGATTCGTGAAATTATAGAAAACACGCAATCATGAAAAATTATCGGTAATTTTGAAGCTCTCGTGGTATTATCCCCGAAAATATGAAACACCTGGAAACCGGAAAGAACTACAGAGATTTTTGGGCA